CACAAGTTTAACAAAGTCTCTAGCCAAAAACTCTCAGAGAAGAGGTACACTACTTGGTTATTACTACTACATAACCCATAAAACTGATTACATGATGGCTAAAATTCTACTGAGCAGTGAGACATGTCATCCTCACACTTTATTAACACTATGCACCACCCCTTGAGTAACTAGCATATAGGTGCCAATAGGTGGCAGTAAATAGCAGTATACGTGCACACTAACAAAAATAACTGCAGATGGCCTGTTTATGTAGTCTAAGCAATGTTTGGAGATAGCGAGGTGCATTTCTTCCCATGAGAAAATCCTAACAAGACTAACATCTCCCTAAACTACTGGACTGTAAGGAAGAGGTGGAGATACAGCACAATCAGACTTACAAATTTCTGTTACAATAGCCAATCTCAATAGAAGTAGTTTTAGCCTTCTTGTGGAACTGATTTCCTGGTCTGGTTTGCCTAGTGGGGTTGACAATTGCTTCAGAAGCTGCCTATGAGCATCCCCAGTTGCTTCATCAGCAAAGTAGGGACAGTTTTCAAAGCCAAACCCTTTTTTGAAGGATTTGCATAGCCGTCATATTTTGCAAAGTTATTAGTTTGAATACATTGGATATAGAGAAATGGAGAGAAACAAGTAATGCATTTTTTAGTTCTTGACAGATTCATGTACAATTGCTAGCCATGCACCTCAACACAAGTTCTTTTATTTTAGATCTGAAACCGTTGTGGAAAGAATGCTTTCTAATTGGATGTCAATTTGTCTGTATCAGTACCTCAAGGTAAAATCTAAAATGCAGTCACACTTTACATTTATTCTGAGCATAATATCACACTGTAGACTGAAATTAAGAATAAGCTTTAGATGATTGTGCCTTCTTCTGAGTACATGCCAATATTAATAGCTTCTGATCTAAACATGCCACAGTTTGGTCTGTAGCCTTGGTCTGAAGGCAGTCACAAATGATAGTTTAAATACTATGGAAAAATATACTTTGCCGAAATAATGGTCTTAGGAAGGTATTAATTTTCAGCTAAGTGATGGGATGCTAATTCTCCATCCCAAAGTAGCCATTGCCTGTTCTCACTTTTTTTTTTCCTCTTTCATCAACTTGATCAGGATAATGCTGGAGAGCCTCTTTATAAATTGTTCAAAGCTATCAAACATCAAGTGGAGAAAGGACCAGTGGACGCTGTGCAAATGAAAGCCAAATACACATTGAATGACACTGGTTTGTTGGGAGATGATGTAGAGTATTCACAATTGGTATGTAGCTTTTATTAATGTTTGTTTCAGAATATTCAAAAAATGGAATGCTTCTGAAATATGTCCTATTATTTTTTACCATTTATGTATTACATAATGTAATGTAATTATGTAACATGGATGATAGAAAAGTATTATTATTATCAGCCAAATCAATCCACTGAAAGATGAAGACCTCTTCATTGAAGATTATGGACCATAAGTACCGCACTGGTTCAGTGTGGGTTGGTAGAAGTACATTTTTCATCTTCCTTATCTACTGCTGAGAGAGAGTGACTGGCCAAGCCAGCTTCCACACCCAAGGAAGGACTAGAATCTGTGTTTCCCCACTCCTGGTCAAGCACCTTAACTGCTACGTGTGTGTACACATGCACACACAGGTGCATACATGCACACACATACAGTGAGGTAAAGCTCTAAGACTTTAATGTAATGATTTGTTATGAAGTTTGGTGTTTTACTTAACTATGTCAACTGAATATGTAATGTTTGGGTACACAAAGCCAGTTTCCCTAAAAATGCCCACATGTGAATTAGAAAAAAAAGAATTCCTTCTTTTCAAAGATAAGAAGTTAGGATGGCCATTGAAGGTCCAAAAATAGCTTTGGACAGATATAATAGATATCAGTGCATATTAATAACTTTATCTCTTGAAAAATACTTATAAATACAGGTGCTATGAACAAACAACAGGGTTTATGTTTTAGCTTTTCTGAAAATACTGAGTTGTCCATTTTTAAATCATGTATTAGATGGACCTTTGCTGTGATCTAATTATGGAAGATTACTTCAAGTTTTTGATCTGCCTATTTATTTGACATGGAGTTGGTCATTCCCCAGTCTCACAGTCTCCTGCTAATTTTGTATCCATGTCAGAATTCCTTCAGAGGCCAGTCCCTCGGTAACCAACATATTTTACTCAAGTCTCTCTGACATTAAGCAAGCATCATATCATAAATGTTTAAGCCCTTGCCTGCTGGCACCCTGTGAAGTTTGCTGGGTATGATCACGTGGGTATGATTACGTCAAACAGGCTGGGTATGAATACATCAAACAGACTATTCGTTGGAGGCAAAACTGAAGAACCAAACTAGATGTTGCATTTACTACGTCTGTGCGGAGATATTAATGTGTGTGTGTGTGTATGTGTTGGTTTATTTTTTGTTTAAAAAGCAAATTGCATCAATCAGCAAGCTGCAGATTAGGTTACCAAAGACATTAGGTGATGTTGCTATTTGCTTTGGAGAGAAACTCCCAAAATTTCCTCTGCTTCATTCAGAATCAGCTTCTGAGGAAGGATTTTTTCAGGATTTCAGGAGGGGAAGAAAATGTTAAGATCCTTTCCCAATCCTATAGTAGCAACTCTGGGCTGAACCAAATGACCATCTCTATAACTGGTGGAGTTTGCTTTCAATTGCTGATCATCAGTAGGATTGCCAGATTGTTATTTCCAAAGTTTATATGGGGAACCCATCAAGAACTTTTGGTCTTCTTAAACAATCCAGTTGATGCTGAGTTCTCTCTTAGTGTTTAATTTCTTCTTGATTTAATGTCCACGAGTAAATTGAAGCAAACTACATCAGTGGATGAATGCTGATTTTGTTGTAAGATAATAGATTATTAGAATTATATGCTTTTTTTCAGTCCATTCTGAAAATGTAAACTTAATTGCAGGAAAGTAATTAGCGACAAAGTTAATTACTAACATTAATCCACTATACTCAGTTAAATCAAGCATCTGTAAATGCTACTTTACCTGCCAGTGTGATAAGCAGCACATTATAGGTTCAAACTCATTATTTGGGATCTCTTCCTAGGCAAGTACCTTCTAGTCAATTGTAAATATATATCATGTTTAATTGCCAAACCAAAACTATGGGTGTAATTTGTAATAAACCTTATACAGTGAAATTACAGTAACCCTCATTTGGTGGACTTGGGCTGCAACACATCCACAGAATGGTGAATCAGACAGCCTAAATATCTTTGTAATAAAAAATATTTTTTTTAAAAAAACTGTCCAGATACTCCTGAAATAATGGACAAGTGTTCTTGATGAGGCAATTAAATTGAGGTTAACTATACATTAAAGTTACATAATGTAAGGCAATTGGCATCATTTGCATACAGAAATGATATAATTTTCTGCAAATGGCATAATTTATGATTTAATGGATAACTACTCCTCTTCCCCAATTGGTCCATGAAAGCAAGGTTTTACTGTATATATGTATGTAGAAAAATGTTTACCAAAATACGTCTTGAATGTCATGTGTATTATATGGCCTTTTACTGAAATGTACTTGCTTGCCAGCTATGATAAGCCTTCTTAGACTACACTTGCCCCTTGTAATTTAAGAGTTCGAGTCTATTTCAGTCAAAACTGATATTTGGGGATTACAGTAGGCATTAAATGTCTGTGAAGCTGTACCTATCTGGAAATTGCTTTCTCTGCTGTTTTGACAGGGGGAGGGAGTCTCTAATAAATTGAGGCCCTTCCTGTAAGGTTAATGGACTAATCTAAGCATGTACAAACAGTAGCTAGTCCACTAGTTTGATGATATGTCTCAGTTTTAAAAGTTTTTTTACAAAAAAAAAAAAAGCCCTCAAAATCCAATTGTGATGATACAGAAATATTCTGAAGGATATTTATAATATATCCTTCTATATATTTTCAGTAGATTCAAAGTAATGAATTGATGGATTCTCATAGAAATCTCAGTACGACCCCATTTCCATCAAAAATATAGAAAAAGGTATGAAATGGCAACATGAACTGTACCACTTATCTAAATGACTATAAATAGACAACTTTATAGCAGCATTGACTTTTCTTGACTGATTTTAATAACCCTGAAATTTCTAACCCTCCAGACTGTAAATGTGATTGTTCAAGATGAAGGCACAGAATCCGTACCTGTAAAAGTGCTCAACTGCGATACGATTTCTCAAGTAAAAGAAAAGATCATAGACCAAGTATATCGAAATCTTCCTTACTCACAGTGGCCAAAGCCTGACAGTGTTGTTCTTGGTAGGTGTCTGTTTTAAATGTGTTTAATAGTTACCATATTGCTGTCAAAATCCAAATGTTTGCAAAAAAAAAGATTGACTTAGTAACTCCGTCTGAATCCATGCAAAGATCCAAATGTGGAAAGAAAAGTGTTTTACCCAATAAACTCTACCCTAACTTTTCTCCAATTTCAATACATTCAGATGTTGTCATTTACTTGAACAGCACACACACTCTGTCTGATAAGGAGCCTAAAGTACACCTTGTGATTTCCTACCTGAACAGGTAGTTTGGAGAGAAACAAGGGCAACAACTTTCTACCCCTCACTTTGCCTCTCTCTGTGTTATGGTCAGTACCTGAATATGGCTTGTAGGTTTTTGGTATTAATATTTCCTTAGTTATAACAATTTACTGAACTATTTTCCATATAGAAATATTACATTTGATGTAAAATCTATTCATCATGTTTCAAGCAATGTAATAATTTATAATTCAGCTGAGCTGTAAGTAGAAGAAATACCTGTTAAGTAGTAAGAATAATAATAATGTTTTTTTAAAAAAAAATAATTTAAAACCTGTAAGATTGAAAAACAAAACAGAACATGTATTAATCCACTCCAGCCAACAGGATTAGGCCACCTGGAGATCTATAACATCCTTCCCCATTTAAATTTCATAGACATACAATGGATCTATTTCTGTTCCTTTCCTTTCATTTGTTAATTCCTGTTCCTTACATTTATTGTCCTTAACATTTCAAATCATAATCTTCCTTATGCCATGGACATTATCTGATATGACAGTAGGTTCTGCAGCTTTGGTCAATCAAAGGTTTTACATAATGCTCCTTAGTAATGCAGAGAAGGTATAAACTAGGTTAATAATCTTAGTCATACTTGTGTTACATGCAGAATTCCCTGGTAATGGTAAAGACATATTTTTTGGCCAGTATCCCACAACCACAATGAAAGCATGCTTGCACTATGCAAGCTGGGATCTTTACTTTGAGATATACTGATTCTTGTTTTCCAAGAAAAAAGACTTAAATGCAATATATTGATACAATCAAAATCATTTAAAGGAACTAAATTTTTATGAATGTTTTATGCTTCTAAAAATCTAAATTCTTAAATGGATTTTCCTCCTCCAATGGTGATTTTGATTTTTTTTTTTAAACAAAAATGAAGCATCTGGCATATTGCTACTTATAGACTACAATCATATCCCCATAATCTGAGAATAAACTGGGTTTTAAATAGATGTGCAATTTACACCAATAAAGGCTTACAACAATACACCCTTACAGACGAGTGTAGGCCTTCCTCGAGTCTAGCATCAGGGAGCAGCAAATCTCTTTCGACCTATCATCAAATCAAGAGATTCTTCTGGAGGACCTCCCTAAGACTAACCGTCTGTATCCATCATGAGATCTTTAGCAAGCACCATCCAAGGTGTTGCATGATTCAGCCATAGAGAATATTATGTGGAAAGTGGTGTTTTTGGTAGTCATAACCTTGGCTAGGCAGGTATCAGAAATAGAGCTGTTAGAAAGAAGATCTGCATTTATGCAGCCAGATACCATCACTTGGCACCAAGACTCAGCTTTCATGATTAATGTGAATTTGGTCTTCCATCAGGGCCAAGAAAACTTCACTTCTTTCTGTTCCTATCCCAAGGCCCACTGGATGGGTGGGTGGGTGTCAGGATCCACGTGAGCAGAACAGAGGAAATCAGACAGCCACATAATCTTCTTCCAACATTTTCACCAGGCCATAAAGCTTTACCAATAATGACCTCTAGGTGTATCAGCCAGCATCAAACTAGCCTGAAAAATTCCTGTGGAGCTATGGCCCACTCCCTAGCAGTATAGCCACCTGGGAGACATCTGTATGGCTATCACATGGTCCTCTCTAAGATTATTTCATACAGCTCAGCTGAATACTCCTTTATCAACAGAATGCTACAGAGAACAGTTTCTTCTAATGTTTATGTAAAATACCATCCCTAGAGGGAGTTCCAATACATCCTACTTCAGAATACCCTAGCACAACTCTTATGAAATCAGTGCGTTGTGATAATTCTTCTACAGCAGAGACAGGGCACACAGCCCATCCCATGTATTGTCAGCAAAAGACATATGAGAAACTTCATCATTTTCAGCAACCAGTTGTACATAGTTTCATATCTATCCATAAATCCATCCATTCTTTATTGTTATTTTTTTCAAGTATGCTTCCTTTGAACTGAACTTTTGGTTTGTCGCTCTTATTGGGAACAGACCCATCCCATCTCCAGGAAAGCAGCAGTAGCAGAATCTTCTAGCCTTGCTTCCTGAGTATGTGGGAGGGAAGGAGATACCCCACTGTAGAACGCCTTGTCTCTATTATAGGAAAATAACTTTTATACTAAGTGTAATTTACCATTTTTTAAAACAGGATTGTTTGGGGTGGGTGGGTCCAGAGAAGAGAGAGCAGAATTCTGCAACGCTTCAGTAATTTGCTAGATGGAAGCCTCTTTTATATGCAGGTTATTTTTAGGCGCACACCTGTAAAATGTTTTTCTTCTTGCAATTGCTCCTCAGAGTGGCGTCCAGGTTCTACTGCACAGATACTCTCAGATTTGGATTTAACATCACAAAGAGATGGCAGGTGGAAGCGCATCAATACCCTGATGCACTATAACGTAAGAAAGCATTTTGGAAGTGTTGCATCTCTGGGTGGCTTTTTAGTAATGCATGGCTTTTCATTAAAAGCGATTGGGCTCAAAACTGTTCACTTTCCTTCCTATCAAATCTAATATCTTTTTTTTTTTTTTTTTTACAAAGCCTAGCCTTGGAATCTGAAATTATATTGCTATGCTACAAGCGGGCAATTACTGAACACAGCCTCTTTGGAAACCCTGGCAGATTCTGTATTAGGGATAAAAGTTATCTTTGTTTAAAGCCAGTACAGAAACTTGTTATCAATTATGCCTCTGGCAAGAAGTGCTTCTAGTAAGGCTTAAACTTAAAGAACGCAGTACGTCTTTTCTAGTCATAGTGAATGTCAATTTTCTACTCTCAAAAAGAATTTGAGGACCTGAATATCAGATTGGCTCATAGAAAATACCTTTCACTAATGGGCAAGAACTCTAGGTAGAAATGCCAATGATACTTCCTTCCCAAATGACTTCAAAAGTGGGCATAGCTTCATGCACAAATGAGTATGTAGTTGGAAAGGCCACTAAAATGGAGGACTAAGCTTTTTTTGTCTGTTTCAGTGGCATACGTACATCAAAAAGAATAGTTGAATGCACTGTAAAGAAAGAGTGGCCAAGAAAGGTGAATTTATTCTTATACTGCATACAATGCTTACATAGGATTAGAAACTGCATGGGAATAAAATATGTATTTTTGCTGTTCTCACCGATTTGTTGCATGTATGTTCTTGAAGGTAAGAGATGGTGCTACACTCATCTTGTCAAAAATGGGGATTTCTCAACAGCCAGAGGACCACCAACAAGACATGCCAGAGGAAAGTAAGTATAGCATGTTAGTCTTTTAGCCAGGTTCTATTTTGTGATAGAAAACAAGCTGGATACTGTAATTTTACATATATAATCACAGTATCTAGTATCTATTTGTAGATATATGCTACAAAACAATCTAGTGAGTTGCCAAGATAGAGCCTTCTACATCTTTTCAATCACATAGAAAATAGCTTACAGAGAAATTGTGGAACGCTATCGTTTCATATGTATCTAAGTCAGTTTATCCGGAAAGCTGTAAACATTAGAAAACCAGGCGAAACTGCAGCCTTCGCTGACAATGACTTGGGGTGTTCTTTGTTGCATAATAAGATACAGTGTTTTCCACTGAAAAGGAGATTGACTGAAAAACTCTTGCCAGTTTTACAAAAATAGTGGCTTGAAAAGGATTGCTTTGGATTGACTCCTTTAGGTTTGGATTAACTCCTTTTTTAAAATCATTTGGGTAAAACTAGATACTGTTCAAAATTGGTTTGTATTAAATAATAGATAAAAGAAAACAGGTTTACAGCGCACTAAAAAAAATGAAACAATGTTCAAATTATTTAGTAGCTGATGTTTTACCAGAGGATAATGCAGTAGCTAATTATAGAACTTTTTTGGGGGGGGGATAAGTGCAATAACATTTCACATTTCTAAATAAAATGACTGCAGTTGCACAAATGGGGCACTCCATTCATTTCAGTGGGATTTTTTAAGTAGAAAAATTGGTTTGAAAAACTTCCTTTTTTTCTGTAGTTCAGTAGTGATTTTTTGCTAGCGTCTCACAGATGTTGCATTTATAGAAAATCATTTATTGTAGGTTTTCTTTGTTCTTCTAATAATAACATAAATATTTTATTTTAACTCACATTCTTTCTCTTTATCCCAGTAGGTTAATATATCTCTGTAAGGCATCTCTGCTTATATTGACAATGTTCAGTGCTATTTCATAAGTTTGTAGTTGAGATAAGATCTGAATCAGATACTTTCCAGCTTACAGTCTTGGTCTTTCTACAATACTGTTTCACCTATACATTCCAGCATCATATGTGACACATAATTGAATAGTAACAAGTTATTTGGAAATAGGATGCAGTCATGGTGACCTCCATCTGTTAGTAATCTGATTATCTGTAGAGTTTTTTCCAATCTTAAAATGTTAAAACTGGAGTGGGGAACATGAGTTCTTTGTCTCCTTATTGACAAGTAAATCTAGAGAAGGATCAGTGCAGTTCTGCAAATCTCTCCGCTCTGAATTAAGATACTAATTCTTATCTGCAAAATTCCAGATCATTACTAGGTTACACAGTTAGAGCTTTCTGTATCTCTTAGCTGCCATCTAGTGGTTGTTGGGATGTTTGCAGCTGGTAGCTGGTAGACCTCCTTGATTTTTCTTCTGGATCAACAGCCATCATGATTAGGAAAAATGTTCCCTATGGTATTTTCAGGCTTCATTTTTAAAGACTTGAAACATCCAAATACCATCTATCTATATACTACTAAAACTCTCATGTCTGTAACCTTTAATTGGGTGAAACAGTGCATCATAGGGCAACAATTTTTGAACCAAGGAACCTCAAATGGGCTAACTTACAGAATGTGTCCAAAATCCAGGACCCATTACTCCAATGGGATTGAAATTTGGGAAATCTGTTGTTGCTTCAGCACTGCTGTGCCACTGTGGCCAGCCAGGTCACATGATCACCATGGGCACATCCCTGACTTCTTTGCTGATTCCCTGTGTCCCCTGCACCCAATCAGATGGCAGCAAGGCCTGACTGGGGAGATGCAATTAGCTGCTTTGGAAATAAGGCAGAAATTTGAAAACTCTTAGCAATGGTTGGCATTGAGGAAAGGAGGAGGGAGTGACTTGGATGCCTGCTGGCAAGGTAGGGCTGGCTGGGGGGGTGCCAGTGATCGAGGGGTGAGCCCTCTTCCTTCCTCGAGAGAGGAGGCCCTTAGGGACATGCCAGAATGGGAAGCGGGGGTGCAGTTTTCCTCACAGTCCATGGCTCCCTTTGTTCCAACTCCCCCTAGCAAAGTGGCAGGCAATCAGCAGGTCAGCTGAGGAGGAGGAGGAGGAGACTTCACTGCGGTTCTCCTGAGGTGAGGAGAGGGCAAACGGTGCAAGCCTATATATGTGGAAAGGGAGGGAGGCAGGCAGGCAGGTAGGAAGGAAGGAAGGTAGGTTGGTTGATGCTCCCTGCCAGCTTCCCACAACAAAGTCAGTGGGGAAGCCAGCAGCAAGTTGTAAGTTGTTCACACTCCCACTGCTTTTTTGCCCTTGGTCATTTTGTTTCTCTGTTTAGGTAAGGAAATATCTCTGAAACGATGACCCAGCAGTTCACACGTTGTCCAGATATACCATTAAACATTTTAAAGTTCCACAGAATTAGACTTTGCATTTTTTCAGATTATTGGTTTTTTGAAATCAATAGTTTGCAAAATGGGAGGTATTTATTACTTTTTGGCCTTGAAACTATCAGTCTTACCCAAAGGAAGAACAATGCACTGTAGTGGCCCTTTTTCTAATTGCTAAAAAATCATGATGCTGCTGGAAACTGAATAAAAACAATACAATTCAGAATAGTTAGAGATGTCATTTTGATCATATTATTTATGCTTTGACCTTTTTGACATACATGCACTATGAGTGAACTATGACTGTAATTAATTGTTTGCCATTACTGTACATTTATTCAGCTTCATAGATCAAAAGTTTTATATTTAATGTGCAGACTTGTAATTGCTTGAACCTTTATATCATTCATGGTGCCCATTTTGCTGTGAACTGTACAATATAATTAAACAGATGGAGTGTATGTTCTTCAAGAGATCTGGTATGGAAAGTAGCTTTGTTTTAAGGTCACCTGTTCCCATACCATTCTTTTAAAAACCCTTGTAAGAATGATTTACAATCTTTGTTTAGGAAAAAAACCAAACTAAATTGAGATGAATGTATAAATAGGCCAATAAACTGAATTACACATTCATTCATGGTTTTCAAAATCACAGAATCCTATTACAAAACTGTATCTGATTTCAAAATCAGACTTGTTGAAATATATCTTTCATAAACGAACAGATTATGGTATCTTCAGACATGTAGTCTATGAGACATTTCTAAAAAGTCATAGGCATTCAGGACTGTTAGAAACCAACTATTCTGGAGTTGATTCAGCCAGGGACTTCATCATTTCCATAATTGCCTAAGAATGTTCCAAACCCAAACCTTTATTATAAATATAGGAAAATAAATAGGAAATCTGTGTTCATTTGGGTATTTGTAAGTGGTTTGAGATCCTGCAGAGATGTGATAAGCTTTGGGTTGCCAGGGGTCTACTAAATAGTTGTGAGGATCTGTGAACCACAAATAGGTGAAGCCACATCACAAAATGGGCATAGCTGGCTATGGGGGCAGAATTTGGGGAATTTATGTGTGAGGGCTTACTTTATTGCTTTTGTGCTTTTCCCACCTCAGACTGATATTGTCAACCATGGCTCAGTCAGTGGATTTCATTTCATTTGTTGATTGCTTTGAAATGTTATGGTTTATTCAGGACATGCTTTACTGGAAGAAGAAAATAAGATCTGGCATCTAGTTCGACCAGTAGATGAAGTTGATGAAGGTAAATCAAAAAGAGGGAGTATGAAAGAGAAGGAAAGGACCAAAGCTATCACCGAAATCTACCTGACAAGGCTACTCTCTGTGAAGGTAAAATTGACTGCCAAGAGTCAGGTTTTACTATATTAAATAGATGCAGGTAGTCCTCGCTTAATGCCTGTTTGTTTAACAATGGTTCTAAGTTACGACAGCCTCGGGAAAAGTGCTTTACAACCTGTACTCACACTTACAACCATCGCAAACCTTCACACCACCACCCCACAGTCACATGATTGCAATTTTCAACCTTTTACGATGGTCATTAAGTGAGTCACCATGGTCATTAAGTGAATCACATTGTCGTTAAGCAAATTCTGGCAAAAAATGTCCATTGGAGAAGCTGGATTAACAACTTAATGACCACCCTGCTTAACAACTAATTTTCCTGTCCCTATTGTGGTCATTGAGGACTACCTGTAATGAGTTAAGATGTAGAATTTTCCTTTAGGGCTAAGATTTAGATTCAGAGCCATTGGCTGGATTCAGGTACAGTCATACGTAGAGTAGATTCATTGAAATTAACAGGTCTCAATTAAGTCTCATTGTTGTTAATGCGACTCAAGTCTTTTCATCTTTGTTTATGAGCCTATGGTTTGACAACTTTAGAAACAATACACCATGTGACCATTAGAAAACAAAGAATCCCAAGAGATAAGAGATGAACATTTCAGCATTTTCATTTTCTCAAAAGGGCATAATGTTGATCAGTGTGTGTAACAATATTTGAACTAATCTGACCCAATAGAGTACCAACTGATTTAATGTGACCTGAGTTTTATTTCTGTTGTTGTTGTTGTTGTTAGTGTATTTTCATTTAGCATTTTGAAAAAAGGGGGAAAAGTAGATAAAAGAAGAGACAGTAAAAAATACAGAAAGATTAAAAAATGATATGAATAAAGAGGGAATTTACAAGCATCATCAAATTAGGTTAGAATTTTCAATATTTAATTAACTAGTTTTAAGTAATTGAATATATTATATTGAAAACTACAGATTGCTGTTAAAATCCAAGCAATATATAAATATCAATATATATCAACAGCAGTAGTCAGCACTAGACAGCACAGTGTAAGTCATAAAATAAGATTAAAAGTTTAATTGTGTCCAAGCCACTGAAAATCTGTTCTGATTTTATAGATCCTTTGGAGATCCTTTGGAGGTAGAATATTAAGACCTTATGTTAAGAAAAGTTCAAATTTTGGATATGATATAAGGCAATACATACTGACTTTCCAAAGAATTAAAACCTTTACATTTTCCTCTTCCCTTTCCCTACCTCTGCTATGACCATGTCAGATGTTTTGCTGGGGTCTCCTTAAATGCAAACCATAACAATATTCTTCCTCTAGTAGTTTGAAAGGCTAATTTTATATAGTCTTGGACCAGGTTCTCCAACGTGGCATTTTGGGGTTTGAATGTACCTGCAGACATCTCTCTTGTATCTTACCATGTTTCCTACTTCTTCTGACATTGTTCTTTAAAAGGGGAGGGGGGCTTCAAAATAAAGATCAGCCTCCAATATTATTATTATTTCCAAGAATGAACCTTAGCTGTAGGCCTCTTAAGCTTAAGAAATAAAAATTAAATGGGGGACTACAGTTTGGAAGAATGCCCATCTAGGCCCAAAAGCAGGGAAGCAGGAGAAAAAAAGGAGAAAGGAGGAAAAAAAATCTTGAAGGAGAACAACTAGATGATGTGGTAAGGAGAATCCTGATAAATTGGTATCATAGGTTATTGTCACCCATGCCAGCCATTTTTTGAAATTATACTCACTCCCAGGAGCCACAACAAAGACTCAATTCTAAATGTTTACACTAGCCCCCAAAAGGTTCTGATATTGACTTAACACTGTTGCTTCAGTGCTGAAAACATCTGATTGAGGAAGAGAAATGTATTTATTTATTTACTAGATATATATACCTCTATATTCTTGGAGTCCCAATAATAAAAATAAAAAATTCCACAAAAATGTAGTATAGCAATGATTAAACAAATAGGAGCAACCAAAAACGGAAAACACTAACTCATTTGTTTCCCCAGACATTCTCCAAAAAAGTTCCATTTTAATCTATTTCTAAATGCTGTTCCTTATCTATTTCAAAGAAACCAAATCCAGTTTAAACTTCAACAAAAAAGCCCCATAATATTGCAAGTCAGATATAAGCTTATCCTTCCAATACAGTTATTTGGGCTGTGTTGATAAATTCTAAATACTTGAGTTACCTATAAGTAGGTATTGATAAATTTGGAAAATAGCATGGTAGAGTTCATGGTCCTATAAGCTAAATACCCTTGCAGGCTTTGCATGAATAGCACCAATTTCTGCAAAAAAGTCTGGGTGTACAGCATAGGTTTCTGGATTATGGGGTAGTCTGTATACCCAAGCAATTTCCCTCTGCAGAGGTTCATGCTGTATATGCAGATGACTGCACAAGGGGTACATGACATGACTGATCTGTGGCAACACCCAGCAGGTTTGTTCATCTACTGTAAGTGGAAAGTTACATGCCTAAATAGGGCTTAGAATAGTTTAAAGCCCAGAAACAATTCTTCATGAGGCCCTCTTGTGTAATTTCATTGTAGACTATATTGAAGTTCATCTGTGAGCTGTTTATTGATGCATACAGATAGCTTAACAGTATCTGCAGAAAATGTGACATGCCAGAACAGACAGGCCCAGCTCAAATTCATCAGGCCAGACTGATTTTCTGTGGAAATCTTTGGCTTATTAGCAAGGTGTCTGATTGGATTGCATAAGTCTTGTTGTGTTTATGTATCCCAATTAAATACTGAATTATTTTCCAAAAGCATCTTCCTCAAGCAATACCCCCATCCCAGTCCTCAGAATTCATGACTGTTGTTGGAATATATCCAGAAAGCATAATTGTAAGTGCATTGCTCTTCCACCAATTCCCTCCATTGGTTGCCCATTTATTTCAGAGTAGTCTTCTGTTCTCCCTGAGCCACAATGTTGAAATCCCCACCTCTTTCATCGGAGCAGAGAATTATTTTTCCTGAAGTCTCTGATCATTTCTTATGGCTGTTTATTTTATGTTCATAAGAGCATTTACTACCCATTTATAGTTGAAAAATGCAGCACTTAGAGCCATTGTGATTCCTTGGCCATTTGGGATAAAGTTTTGTACAGATGACTATAAATCAATTTCAAAAGCATTCTTGCAAATTTGAAAGGAACTACTGGAAAATGTTACGCTTAACACCATAACCTGAATTTTTAATGTTTGTACTGTGTGTGTGTCTGTGTGTGTTTTCCCCCTTTAGGGTACACTTCAGCAATTTGTAGATAACGTTTTCCATAGTGTACTTGATTCAAACCATGTTGTTCCGCCAGCTGTGAAATATTTCTTTGACTTTCTTGATGAGCAAGCAGAGAAGCATGATATCAAAGATGAGGATACCATCCACATCTGGAAAACAAACAGGTAGCTGGGGAGAAAAATAGTATATATATTAACTAGCAAGATGTTTCTTTTCTTTTTTTAATTTGTTTTTACTGTACCTAAAAATAGGTATTAAGTAAGCTTTATCTTAAGCATCACCTGGGAGCTTCCAGAGAAGGGTTCAACAGTTTTTCAGGTGGTACGCCATCTTCTGCACATTTTTAATTTAAAAAAAAAATGTAAAGGATCATAATTTCATGGGATCTTACATGAGAACATAGAGTTGGCTATCTTGTAATAAATATTTTAGAGGTTCAGTGGCATCACAGTGTTTGTCAGACTCTGGGACATTTGCCTAAAATGCAAATGATTCTTTTCCAAGTGCAATTCTCACACAGACTCTTTAGCAAGATTTATTGAGGGATGGGGTTACAATAATTCCAGAACTGAACTATTGCCTATCTAAAACCAATATGTCCCATTGTACTTTAAGGCAAAGACTTCTTTGTTTTCTTTCTAACTGTGAACTAGTGAGCCTCTTCACTGAGGAAAGAAAGTCTTCTCCCTGGCCTTTTATACAACTGTCTGTTGAATCTTTATCAGCCCAAGAATCCACCATCACATGACCTCCATTCTAAGGTTAGGGAAATTGCCATGTACCTAGTAATAGAAAATCCATGCATATACATGGTTCGGTGGTCACAGTCTGTTTCCAACAGATGTATTTTACCTATTTACTATTTGTTTATTAAATTTGTTTCCCACCTTTCCTTCAGTTGTTCAAGGTAGCAAGCACAGGGTTCTCCCTTAATTTTATCTCCACAGCAACAACTCTGAGTTGAGCTCAGAGAGAATGACCACTATCATTCAGTAAGTGTCCTGGGCTAAAGATGGGCTGATTCTGAGTCTTTCCATTCTAGTCCAGTATTTTAAGCACTACATCACACTGACTATTTTGGGTGCTCACATTCCTCAACTGCAAACCCTGAAAATGCAGGCCAGGAACCTCAAGATTCAATGTAATTTAATGTATTAAATTTGTAAAGCTGCCCAGTTCAGAATGACTGGGTGGCACAGAGTATTGAAAGCAGATAAAAAAACAATTACTAAAAGATGAAGTGACCCAGAAGATTTGGCAAAATGAGAGAGAAATCAATAGGAATATGTTTAACAAAACATTAAAGGAGAATTATGGAAACATTAAAACAGAAGCAGATTGGAATTTTCTCTAAAAGACAGCAGCCTTTTTCAGTTGTTACAAAGGAGTATACAACTCACCGTGCACTTAATGGTGAGTGGTCCCTCCTTCTATAGAATCTTGTGAAAAGCCAATATTCACAAATTATAGACAGTGGTCTGCACAAGAAACCCTAATGCTGCAGGTCACAGTAGGGTCATAGCGAAGGATTTGTGCATCGAGTTCTCCAGCTGTTCACTGAAATCACTAGCACAATTTTACCAACGAGAAGGGCTATCACGTCTGTTGCTGTTGTAAGTTTGCAACACCTGAAAAGCTCCAGAGGTGGCACAGAATATGTGGCAGCCCAGATTCTTACTCTTTTCACTTTTGCCTATCAACATTGGAGCTCAATTTGAAAGCCTTTATCTTTATTCTTTCTGTAGCTGGACTTTCCTTTGGAATCAGTATGTATCAGCAATGTGAACACTCAGGTTCTATATTTTGACTGAGTACTCAGAGCCTTACAGCTGCATACAAATCATTGTTACAGAGCTATCAAGTTTTTGCTGAATAAGCCTGCTTCTCTTCTTTGGATCATGGAGCTTTTTGACATATAGCCAATCAAATTGCCATTAGTGGCAGTTAATCATTTAAATTCTTTTTAGTATAAGCAGCGCATTCTGGAAGCTATTTTACTGAGCTTGTTAATATGATATATTAAGGTAGAAATCTTCTGGGTTACTCAGAATAAGCCATCTTATTGGTGCATTCTGCCTTATTTCTTCCACTTGGTGCCTCCTCCTTAAATAAACCAGGAAAATTCTACCTGAGATTTGCTTAGCATTTCATGAAAATCACACTCTGGTTTGTTGCTCTCCAAAAAATCCAAATCAGAGGCAACAAGTCCATGAGTAGAACTTTGAGTAGAATAGCAAACAAACCAGCCTTGGATGGTTTAGTTAATTATTTGTGTTGCCAAGAGAAGCAAAGCAGAAATAATAAGGTAGAATGCATCAGCGTACACGCTTGATTCTATTAATCCAAATGTCTGAAGAATTCCTATTTTTGATGACATGCAAAGAAGCCTACTTAGTACCTACGTAGTAGGTAGAATCATTTAGTAATAACAACACTTTTTGCTTGTCAGGATTAGTTTTCTACTTTTTAATTTCCTCCTGAATACTGGTTTCAGTTATTTCTTGTTTTCTTTCCAGCTTGCCTCTTAGGTTCTGGGTAAACATACTGAAGAATCCCCATTTCATCTTTGATGTTCACGTTCACGAAGTAGTAGATGCTTCCTTGTCAGTCATCGCACAAACTTTCATGGATGCTTGCACAAGAACAGAGCACAAGCTAAGCAGGGTAAGGCTTTATCTTAAGTTCTGTGTCTCTGATCAACACAGCAGTAATCACACCTTCCTCAATCCTATTGCATTGGAATCCAGCTATAATAATTATAGAGGACACCAGGTTGGGAAGACTGATAGAGAAAAGCCTTTATGAAAGGCATTAATTCATTTTTCCATTGGCTGTAAGGGATATTTATGCTGCTTCATAGAGGCAGGGATGTTTATTTCCTGCAGCCTCTAAAATACATCTCATGATACAATATTTTTAGTTACTTGAAAATAATGATGTCACCATTCCTGACTAACTGGTACTTGCCCCTTCTGTCGCCAAAATTGCTAGAGAACGGCTTGTGGCCAGGGTTGATGAGGTCTAGGACAACATGTTGTGAGAGAGGATAGCTAGAAAGAGAGATGGTACTGGAGTAGGTAGAGGGCAGAGAAAGAATCACAAGTTACTATTACATCTGAATAGATTCCTATTGCATTGGAATCCAGCTATAATAATTATAGAGGACACCAGGTTGGGAAGACTGATAGAGAAAAGCCTTTATGAAAGGCATTAATTCACATTAACACATCCACAGGATCCTTTTTTAGATAGCAATAAAGAAAATGTAATTCCAAGGTCTCAGAATACAGAGGCTCAAGGAGTGTTGATCTGCTCTTCAGAAATCAGGTGCTCTGCAGATGCTTACACTGCCTGCTAAGCCTACCTCCTGAAGAAGACTTGTATGGTTCTTTCCCATAACAGCAGATATGTGTGTGTGTGGGGGGGGGGGGGGGGTTCTCTCTCTCTCTCTCTCTCTCTTTCATGCTTTGAAAGGGAAAGAACTTTTTAACATGCCACGGGCTTTCTTCATACTGCTTGATGGAACACACCAAATTTCTGTTTTCCAAATGGAATGCAGCAGCAGGCACAAAGGAAGGAAAATGTACAAGATGGCGGTCTCAGCATCACAGTCAAAGCTTCACCCCTGCAAAAGGGGTAGAGCTTCAGTCATGATGCTGCACCTGCCATCTTGCAGATTTTGACACACACACACACACACACACACCTTGTTACCCATGATGTTCTCGCATACACCTTATTGAAAGGAATGGATTTTCCACCACCCCAAATCTCTGCAACCGTAGATAAAATCAAAAATATGAGTTTCAAACACCATATTTTACTGCCTTCTTTTTTTCAGGATTCTCCAAGTAACAAGTTACTCTATGCAAAAGAGATCTCTACATATAAGAAAATGGTGGAAGAGTAAGTAGAGAGAGCCACAGATTTGTTATTTCATATTCTCAGTGACAAAACTCTTTTTGCTTTTCTCACGTGACATTCCTACTTAGTGGCAAGTTGGTTCTAAATATGCCCTGAATACAAATTATCAAGATAAAAATAATTTCACCAGGAGGTTTATCATGTGAAAAGTGACATGGAAATTAGGCAAAATAATGATAAACTCAAATAATATAACAATCGTATATTCATTTTCAAAATAGATAGCAATTTAACAGTACCAAATGAAACTGAATTAATGTGTAGAATTATTTTTCAATATTCGAATATGCTCATCATTTTTAAAAATGTCTCGGCTTTTGCCTTTGTATTTTGCTCCAGTATTTCACTGTGATTGCTTTCTCTTTTTAAATATATGGTGCAGGCATGTGTGTTTATAGTATGGATTTAGAAAATAAGTTACTTACTTTAATTCCCTGTCCAAGAAATACTTTCAGAAGTGAAAAAAGTATGACAACAAATCTGTCAGGAAGCAAAAGTTTATAGTATCATAAAAATTTAAAGAATTTCATGTGACATGAATTTTTGTAAGGTAGCATCTATCCTGAGATGAAGTTTTCCCAGTTAAGTCACTAAGGCTGCCTGCCTTTGCTCTAAAGAAGAGGAAGTCACTGCATGGAAAATCAGAAAAAGTAACAGAAAACATTTGGGGCTGTCACTGAAACATAGAGTGAGAAGTTTGGGCAGGTGGGCACCTATTGCTCTACTGTCCCTTTTGATTTCCTGACCCTCAAAATGAGGCTATGGGTGTAGCAAATACTCAGATGAGCCACATCCTTGCTGCAGTATCTCTACTGATGCATCTGTTTGGGAACCACAATGAAGCATCATGGTAGATAGCTCTTCCGGAAAGTGACGTTGACTATAGTGGCTTTAAGAGTAGCCATCCACTGAAATGCTTAAGTTCAGGCCAAGGAATTAGAAGGGAATGAGTGTGCGAGAAGCTCTGGTGACCGGAAAACTCTACAGAAAGTCACTTATGTCTATGTCTTGTTTTCCGAGCACCCTTTGGTTTGCTTATCAGTCTGGGGTGCTGTCCCCAAACTGTTAGAATGGGAGAAGGGCTGGCAGGGACTTTGGCCCTAATCTATCAGATAGATGGCTTATTGGCCATAAGCAGATCCCTAACAACCCACATGTATTCAACGGTCCACTTTGCTGCTGAATTCAACCAGAATTCAGCAGCAAGGTGGACAGTTTTGGTGGTCTGTTTTTTCATGTGTTTTTTCCAAAGTTGAAAATGGTGATGAGAATTAGAGGTCTCCCATCCTCATGCTTAACCTCCCAACCCAAAAATGTCTCAAATGTCATTTTCCAGAGATTAGGGAGTTAAGAATAAGAATGGAGACATTTTTTCCCCTAAAATGGCATCTTCCCATGCCATTACCAGACAGCTGCTTGTGGCCTGCTGCTATAATATTGCTAATCTCTGGCCTATGGTAATGTTTTCATTCTGCATCATGAGAAGGACAACCTTGCTATTTTAATTCATTTTAACAGTCAAGAATTGCATTACAATCTCTAAAAACCTGCAAAATCCAGCATGGAGTAAACTTCAGGTCCTGACATTAATCTAAAAGAAGGAGATCAGATCATTTTTTTATAAAAATGTCAAAGATTAAAATCAGCAAGCATCCCTTAAAAGTTCTAGTTCAGTAATGTCTGTTAAGAAAATGTCAGAAATTCAATACAAAGTGTTAAAGTATTTTTAAAAGGTTATTACTTCAGCTAAAACATTTTTTTCCAGTTATTATAGAGGTATTCGCCAGATGGTACAAGTGAGTGATCAAGACATGAATACACATTTAGCAGAGATTTCTCGAGTAAGTACAAAATTGGAAACAAACCCTGAAATATGGATAAAAGTAGAACTGCTAGGTTATTTGTCTTGTCTTGTCTTGGGTTATTTTTGCCATATTTCCCATCTTGTGTCAGTCCTCTGGAGTTCTTTTCACTTTTTTTTTTCCAAGGTTTTGGCATTCCTCATAGTTCAATTCAGTGGTTGACCATGCTTGAGATCCATGGGGAACCTTCAGTAGTTTCAAATCAGTTTTATTTATGTAATCCCCTGGGTCAAGTTATCCAGCTCAGATTGATTGATCCATCTATATTTTATATGTTATTCAATCCAACAAGGCTCAAAGCAGCTTTAAATAAGAAATAAAGAGCAGTGAAACAAAGCAGCAGTATTCTGACAAACAGCTACAACATCCAAATCCACAGCAACAGGTTTCTCAACAGTGTGTTCCCAAGACCCTCAGGAAAGGTTTTTATGGTGTGACCCAACCAAAAATTCTTGCAGTGTCTTGTTTAATTTAAGCACTTTAAATTGCCCCCAAATCAAACTCGTCACTAGACACCTCTTGTGGTAAAGGTGGTATATGGGAAAATCTAGCAGTTCCCATCATTATGTAAGCCATTGCATTCTGGACCAGATGAAGCTTCCGGGTGGTCTTCAAGGGCAGCCCCATGTAAAGTGCATTGAACTAGTCTACACATGATGCATCAGTATAAGTCACTGTGAGCAGGGCATCCTAGAAAAGTCTATAACTGGTGTACTAGATGAAATTGGGCAAAGCCTTTCCTAGCTACCTATTCTTCAAGCAGCAGCTATGAGTCTAAAAGGACCCCTAAGTTACAAACTAATTCTACATAGGACAGAACTAAAGAAAACCAAAGATGGAACATCTCTGGTATCAGAAGGCTTCTGAACCCATAACTACTCTGTTGTGCCGGGATTAAGCTTGAACCTCTTCATCCTTACCCTAACAGCCTCCAGACCCAGGATAAGACCACTACATGACCTGTTTGGCCTGGGATTGAGATATACAGTACTGTGCAAAAGTTTTAGGCAGTTGTGAAAAAGTGCTGTAAAGTAAGAATGCTTTCAAAAATATATATTGTAACTGTTTATGTTGATCAATTTACAAAATACAAAGTGAGTGAA